TCGGTACATCAAAGAAAACCGACTCAACTAGTAAATAATAGGCCATATAGTCGGGCACCCTGTGAGAGGCAGTGATATATAGGTTACGTTTACACTATACCGGATAACTTTCCGTGGCGGCGCGAAAAAGCACCTGTCCGATAGCAGAAATTTTTTTTGGGATCACTTTCTTTGGGAGCTTGGTAACCGCGCCTGTTATGATGCAATATAGGAAGCCTGTACAGCAGGAAATAGATTGCGGTCGAATACTTTGACGCAAACTTATATATTCTATATTTATTTACATAACCGCTGCGTTTTGACGCATTATTCATCGCGTCTTTCCGAAAGCTTTGTACCCATAAATAAAATTCACTAAAAAGAGAACACATTACAATTTTTTTATAAAATAGATCAAAATATAGTACCATAAATATTGAGATATTGAATTTTTTTTACTAATGCTAGTATAAAGGTCATAAGTTCGTGCGTAATGGTATTCGAAATATATTATTAATTCGCAGTTTATTTAACCACAGTTTATAGTCTATACTAAGATACAACCTTAATCTCTGAAACACAGGCAGAAGGCGTAAGTCTATAAACTGTGATTTAACTGATAGAAACGTTCACAATCAAATTGTGTGAGTCACAGATAGTCTCAGACTCAGTTGAAAACGTGTAAATATGCAAACCACACACTCTAATGCTTATATATAGGCGCACTGATGTCTTTATCATTGATTATCATGATTATCAAAATTCAAAGATCAAAATTTGCCTGCGCGCAATGCAAAATGTAAACAAGACACGATTATAGATTTTGCATTATAAACTGTGTAAGCCGAGGGTGATGCAGAAATTCAGTTGAAGTAACTTCTAATACATATTTTATATTCGTACTTCAGCATTCAGTTTATTTCAGGCTATTATTACGGAAAATTTAAATATTTCCCGCTAAAGATTAATGATAATTAATTAATGGTATAATAGACTTTATAGAGTACCTGAATAACCTCAAGTTTACATCAAGTGTCCCAATAAATCCAAATATGTACCCTGAGTAAAAGTCGCGGTTACCAAGCCTCCCACGGAAAGTGATCCCAAAAAAAATTTCTGCTGTCCGATACGCAATGTACAACTTTCAGAAACTGAGCGAAACAACATCTCTCCGTTGCAATAATTCCTCTGAAATAGCGTTCTTAAAAGGCACGGATAAAGATATGATGTTTTTCACGTCTCTACGGAAAGCTATGCGGTACAAGTGCAAACGTAGCCATGTATAGTCAACACAGAGAAGTGATCTAAATATAGCCCGTGCGCTATACTCCTATATAGTCAAAATCGTGATTTGTGAGTTTTTATTTTTATCCATTATATACTTCTATAATTTTTACGCTCTATTAAAAACCGTCTAGTTGAACCTCCTGGTTAACCTAGAAATAGCCCTATTTGGATTAACTTAATATTCCTGATGAATTTTCCTGGTTATTCTAACATTTTTCCTGATTGCCTAGTTAATTTAACCAAGGACTTCTTGGCTAAATTAACCAGACCATGTTAGGTGGATAAATTACCAGGGGGCCCTGGCTATAGGGTTATTCAGTCTAGGCTAACCGGCAAAATTTCCACCAGAGTGTATTTCAAAATTCCGAGGTTGGAAAAAAAAAATGTAAGATTTAATAAAACTATACGACCAAAAACCTTTGTCGAGGATTGTAGTTTAGCAGAGGGGGATTTTAGTGGTTGTTACTGCTGTAACTAATTGTAACTAAGTTAGTTACAATTAGTTACAGCAGTGGATCTCATTGACTAGAGAACGTGTCATGTTCATGATGTACCATGCTTCAAATAAATGGCATGGTATGCAAGATTTAGGTTTGCACATATCTGCATGTATAGATGTAAGATTACGATGCCATATATAATACCAGCGCTCTTCCAGCGTAGTGGAAAGAGGCTGGATACGACGTTGACATCATACATCTGGGGCAGGTTGTACGAAAAGCCGGATAGCGCTATCCACCGAATAGTGATTTTTTCAACCTTTGTAAAAATGCCTGAAAAGCTGTGAAACTACAGATATGAACCACGCAAGTAGTATAAAAAATTAAAAAACCTTTAATTTTAATTTGAGTTATACCAATCAATGACTGATTAAACAACAGTTGAAAAAAACACTATCCGCGGCCCCAGTTCAACATTTATCTACTTATTGCTAATCATTGGCGACTATATTGTGTACGGCAACTAGGTGTCTTTAAACAATCCTGGAAACCAATATAAACGTTCCTTAGGATCTTGTTCATCAATCCAAATCATTCCTTCTTGCACCATGTGACCCTAAGGGATATTCAGAAGACAAATATGATCAAAACAAGCAGTATAAAAACAAGCAGTATAAAAACTGTCGAATGCTCAAAATTCGTACAATTTTCTTTCACAACGCACAATAATTAAATTCACTGTAATAATTAACTTTGAAATTTTGGTTCAGGTGCATATTATTAAGTCTATTAAGGAAAGAACATGGCATTTATTGGAGGTTCTTCATTTCACGATTAAAGGTCATAGTCTGTATTCTATCGAATATTTCTTTATGTAACTACTTCCAATGCATGTGTATCGGGCAAACTCAATGCTTTTAACAATAAAAATGTTTTAAAATGTTAAAAACATTAAGTTTGCTGATCTTGAATTATGCTTAATTGATTTTCCTGGTTAGTTTTTTCAATTAAAAGGGTTGTAATGCGCCTTAAAAACCATCATTCAAAAGGCTGAACTGTGCCTTTAAGCCCGTACACACGAGCAAGTTTTCGTTGACAAGTTTACTTTCTCATGTGTATCAGTTTTCCTTGAACAAATTTTTCTTGACCAAAAACTGGCATGACTATAGACCCATCGCACTGACGTCACAAATCCTTGGAGTGTCCTCCAGATGCTCCCTATAAGAATATCTGTTCGGGTACAACCACATACAGCGCAAAGATTACCATTTTAATACAAAATTATTATAAAGTTTTACAAAATTTGCTTTGTCTACAAAAGTTATATTATGCATAGATTGCTAATTTGCCCTCCAGATGCATCGTCACCGGCGCTGTGACGTCATGTGCAATGGGTCTATAGCTCTGGAACAAGAAAAATTGTCATAACAATTTTTTGCCGTACACACGAGCAAATAAAACTTGTCATGGAAAACTTGTCAAGGAAAAATTCAGTGTCCGTCTGTACTGAGTGGGCGTTATACACAGACTATACCTCGGACAATACCTACCAAGACATGTTCAGCCCGTTTCACTTCCCATCCCAACTGTGACGTTATAGCAGATAATGAAATATACGAAGTAGCCTGTAGAGTTAATATCAAATTGGTAATAAATATACAATGAGTGAACAATGTGCAGTGTTCATTAAACAATGCCTTTTTTGTCCGCTATGGCAGAATGGGCTGTATTTCTGATCATTTCATTGTCAAAAGGCAATCAAATTTGCTTCTCTTTTCTTTCAAGTTTAACTGCTGAGAACAGTTAGCATGATTTTAAATGTGAATTACTAATTAATTTCTTATTCCTTTTATAATTTGAACTCATTTCGGGCAAACGTAGCTATAATTTGTATAAATATACATAATAGACTACACCAACAGAACGCAGCAGCCGTTTGTTTTTTCTTAAGAACACATTCGAGAACATTACAGTAAAATTTAGTTAAATCAAGGTTCTGACAGGCGGGAATCGTCCGTACACTGTCGGTATACTGCATAGTCAGGGGCGTAGCCACAGGGGGAATAGAGCGATTTTAGGACGGCAACGCGACGACGACGGCCAAAACAAACTCCTTCAAATAAATGGTAGTAAAGATAGTTCGTCGTATATTATCAATCGTATGAATTTAATACAGTTTTAGAAGTTGAAGACATGGGTTTTATGGTTGGGAAGAGTTCTGCTGAACCTATATTGCTGAAATATATTGTAATTATTCAATTCTTTTCAATGGTTTATTGTATTGGTAGCCGTTGTCGTCACGTTGCCGTCCTAAATCGTAAGATCTCTAATGGGGGAGGGGACCCGACCCCCACTTTTCGTCAGGACCAATTTTGTAATTCTTCCAACACTGTGCCTGTGGAGAAACGTGGGGGGGGGGGGCGGGAAGAGGCGTATTGCTTTCATCAATGACATAAAATATACTAAATCTGCAGCTTTGAGATTATCATAAGACGTGTCTATAAAATGCATGGATTAGCGTTTCGCAGACCCTAAAAATGGAAAAGGACAACTGACCCCATGGTTGCTCTGTGTGTTAGTTTTGGGCTGGCTACGCCCAGCATAGCCTGTATAGGAATACACATGCAGCCATGAGTATTTATAATGTATATTAAAATGTAATTAAGCAAGCCACTGCTGGAGGTATAAAGATATAACATAAATCATCTAATTTTCACAACTGCACATGCACGCCTACCTGTGCTAACTGCAGAACTGTAGTATGGTCCATATTTAATTCACCAGGAACAGACTGAACAATTCTTTTCTCGCCAACAGGAATAATTTGAAATCCACTTCCTAATGTGTGAAGTTTTTTAATTGCACGTGCTAAATCATCCCTAAGACAAGATTGAGAAAGGCACAAGTTTCAGAATTTTATAACTCTGTATAAATGTTTTTGGCTGGTTCTCTCATTGACGCGAAATACCTAAAATTTAAATATTTTTTTTTACACGTTTTTATGAGGGTATATGTGAAGCCTATTTTCACCTCAGTTCATACAGTAACGTACCATTATATATAGAATTTTCTTAATTGTAAGCTATTATAAGTCGTACATCTAAGCTGGCACATATTTGACGAGAGTTTGATGGTCATAATATTCAGTCAAGTCTCATTCAATAACTCTCATGCAACACTTGTTCTAGTTTGACCGGCATATGAGAGCTGGAAAAGAACCCCGTTTATGTGAACTCGTGCTTGCCAACACATCAATTCTCACCCCCGATTAAGTTGGTTAAACCAACCTCGTACCCAGGGTTCTCTTTTTGCTGGCACTATCGAAGAGATGTGCCCCTGATATACTATGCAATGTGCTGATTAGATTTTAGTTCATGTTTCCAGCAAAAAGAGAACCCTGCCTGGGTACGAGGTTGCGATTAACCAGCGTTTTATTTTTTAAACTTGCAAATTTTCTGATGAGTGATCTTCTTGTACCTGAGAGGCCTACTGGCCAGCTACTATAATTCTAAACTCATTTATGAATATTGCATTTACTTACTCAGTTACATCTTGTCTGGATTTACCACCGCCTTTTAGTAAACGGTGAAGCTCATCAAGAGCTAGAAGACCTGTGGATAGAGTTGAGTAGTTTATTAATCCAATTTTCTATAGGATATTGAATAATGCATTGATACGTTGGATACATGACATATGATATAATACTGAGTTCAGTGAATAAATTATACAATGCTACAATAATTAATAGTGATCAAATAATGGTGGATCCTGGCATATAGGATCCTATAAAATTTTCAGACCTGGCTTTAACAGGCACAAAAAATAATATATTAGGAAGAATATTAGTGAACTCGGCAGAAAACTTTGACCCCCAAAACTTAGGATCCCAGGAATAAAAAATATTATTTCCTGCTATGGTTAAATTATGTCATAATGATAAAAATTGTATAAATATTTTTAATCAGTGCATGTGTACCTCCATTTCGCGTTCTTGTAGCCATACAAATTTCAATCGCTTGAACACCAAGCTGTTTAAAAATCAAATTAATTAATACTCAGTGTATTTAATATATTAGAATGATAATAAACAATTATTGAATGAGGTTGAGCGTGATATCGAGAATTATCAAGGACGAGGTTTGTGTTATCTTCGAAGCCGAAGGCTGAGGTAGATAACACAAACCGAGGCCTTGATAATTCTCGATATCATGCGAAAACCGAATCCAATAATTGTTTTATTATAAAACAATTATTGGAAACAAACAACGCCAGAAAGCCTACGCTGAAGGTGCTCAAGTCAGGTATCGACAGCTTCGTAATGTGGTTAATCGTGAGCGAAAGAAGCTTCGCAGCCGGTATTACAACACTAGAGTTGCGAACCTGAAAAATACCAAACCGAGCATGTGGTGGAACGAGGTTAAAAAGATCTCGGGGATGGTCCCTGCAACGTCCAATGTTGATATTCGCTCGCAGCTTCACATTGGCGGCATTGATGGAAAGTCAAATAAGTATCTAGCAGACCTTATTAACACCTCTCTCCTCGAACCCATGCAAGCATACCAACCACTTGCCTGTCTTCCTCCATTCGACCAAAAATCCGAGGTATTAAAGCTTGATGTTTATTCTGTGTATTCGAGATTACTAACGTTAAACCCCCGCAAAGCGTGTGGTCCAGACGAGGTGCCTAACTGGCTACTTAAAGAATATGCAGAATTTCTTGCAAACCCTGTTTGTAACATCTTAAACAGTTCATTTGCGGAACAAGCGCTTCCAGCATCATGGAAATATGCCAATATCACACCACTGTTTAAGACGAAACCGGTTTCAATTATTGCTAAGCATATAAGACCCATCTCGTTAACATCAGCTCTATCGAAGTTAGCTGAGGACTTTATCGTTATGAATTATGTTGGACCTGCTGTTCTTGAAATCATCGATCCCAATCAATTTGGTGCCATCCCGAAGTCGTCTACTACTCAGGCTCTTGTATCCACGATGCATGCGTGGACTTCTGCCACAGATGGAACAGGTGCAGCAGTGAGGACAGTGAGGATCATATTGCTAGACTATAAAAAGGTCTTTGATCTGATCGACCACCGCATTCTAGTTGACAAAGTCCTTTCCCTTCGAATACCATGCGGTGTAGCTCGCGGGTGTGTGATTTCCTATCAAACAGATTCCAACGTGTAAAGTTGTCAAATGATTGTTGCTCTGAATGGGGTGCTGTTCCATCTGGTGTCCCTCAGGGAACTAAGCTAGGACCCTGGTTGTTCATGTTAATGATCAATGACCTCAATCCATCTGAAGCGCATGCTTCGAAGTATGTAGATGACACCACGTTAGCTGAAGTTGTTCCACGGAATGGCAAAACCTTTATCCAGAACGCCATTACTGATGTCGAGAGGTGGTCTAATGTCAACAAGCTCCAACTGAATGCTGACAAGTGTAAAGAAATGGTCATTGACTTCAAGAGACAGAAACAACAGTTCAAAGAACTCGAACTGGTTAGCAGTGCCAAGGTGTTGGGAGTTATTATATCCAGTTCACTCCAATGGGTTGACCATGTAAACGAAGTAATCAAGAAAGCGAATAAACGTTTGTATTTCTTGATCTTGCTCAAGCGTGTGAACGTCCCTGCTTGTGATATTGTCAATTTTTACTGCACTGTTATTAGACCGGTTCTCCAGTATTGTGCTCCTGTTTTCCATCATGCTCTCCCTGCATATTTATGTGATGACCTTGAGCGCATTCAAAAGCGTGCACTGTCCATAATATCCCCGGGGTTATCATATACGGACAATCTTATGAAATTGAATATACGTTCCTTGAGAGACAGGCGGCTAAAACTGTGTAAGAAACTATTTCAATCAGTTATATCTGATACCGAGCACAAAATTCACCATCTTCTGCCACCCAAGAATATCTCAGCATATAATCTGAGAAGACAGCGACCTTTCGACTGTCCGACCACACGAACAAATCGTTTTAGGAACACTTTTGTCGTGAAAAAAGGAGCTGGGAAAACAGGTCCTATGCTGTTTGAGCAGGATAAACCTTTGCGAGAAAAGTCACACTTATCCCTTTCAGACAGAAACCATTCCTTTGTAAAAAAGGACATGGTGTCATACGTTTGTCTTTATTCTGGAAGGGCTTTGCCTTTGGGTGTTTGAAATCGCAGCGGTTTCCTTTTACCCACCAACCAGGTCGTGAAAGGAACGGACAGGGGAAAGAGCTTTTTGCAGGGCTGATTTGGAATAGGGCTGCGTTTTTTTAGTGGCTTGCTCAAGTTGTTTTTTCAAGGCTAGAATTCTCACTTTTTAGCATGTTGATCTCTTCTCTGTGTTTACCGAGGAAATTGTCTTTCGAGTAGGATGTTTAAGATCGTTTGCGAAGGGAATCATCGTCTATGTAATCAATATTGTTTATGAATTTTTTTTTTTTTTTTTTGTGTTGGTGTAGTGTACTCAGGTGAATATGATATTTGTGGTGTTACTCTGAGTGTATATCCACACCGGGCGAGCTTGAAAAATATGCCCGGCCACGGTGGGATTCGAACCTACGACCTTTGGAATACTAGCCCAATGCTCTTCCAACTGAGCTACGCGGTCAGGACGGTTCGAGTAAGTGATATTTCGGAACAGAATCTAGTTCCTTCAATACCAATGGTTTCTAATAATATGAATTTTTTTGTGTTGGTGTAGTGTACTCAGGTGAATATGATATTTGTGGTGTTACTCTGAGTGTATATCCACACCGGGCGAGCTTGAAAAATGTGCCCGGCCACGGTGGGATTCGAACCTACGACCTTTGGAATACTAGCCCAATGCTCTTCCAACTGAGCTACGCGGTCAGGACGGTTCGAGTAAGTGATATTTTTCAAGCTCGCCCGGTGTGGATATACACTCAGAGTAACACCACAAATATCATATTCACCTGAGTACACTACACCAACACAAAAAAATTCATATTATTAGAAACCATTGGTATTGAAG